CCAAAAGATACGATGATGTGAACATCTGCAGTAAACTATATATACGGAATATTAATGCATAAGCCAACGCTACACAGTGTGGCTAGTGGCCTAAGCAGAGTAATGTTCAAGACTCTTGTTTGAGAACTTCTTCAGGATTGAGATGACTTTCTTGAAGGCTGTGTAATATACCCTCCTGATGAGTACTGGAAGGTTCCAGATCTGTGTTGACTGTTGTTAGTGATGCTAACACTTTGGTCAACACTCATAGGACCAGCTAATTAATAAATTCACGATAATAAATAAATAAATTCAATATTTGTTTAATTAAACGTTAACTTTATTATTTATCAAATATACAGGATGGTCAAATATGCGAAGTTGAAGTTTGGCTTAAACCATGGGATAAAACCCAATATCATACTGAGTTCACCAAATGTTGGGCAGGCAAGCCTTCGTCAAAGAAACCGCAAGAAGGAGGCAAACAAAGAAATGACCACAAACCAATTTTGCCAAAAAAGCACTAAGATCTGATTCATTGAGTTAACTATCTGTTAAAAGATGATGGTTTGCTGTCGAAATTATTTGTAACTGTTGTTGAGTAAACAATTTACGATTAACAAGCAAAATGTTCGCTTTTCCAACCATTGTAACAACTTGTTTTGTCTACTGTGTATCATTATACTGCACTGCAATCCGTTCTGTTCTCTTGTACGGCTGTGAGAAATGGTCGTTAAAAGTAGAAGACATGAAGTGGGTACAGGCTTTCGATCATAGGTGTCTTCGTAGCATTGCTCGCGTTTGGTGAAATCATCACGTGAGCAGTGTTGAAGTCAAGCGAAAGGTGTTGGGCAAGACAGGCAATTCGACTGATGACGTTGTGAACCTTAGTCAACTGAGATGGCCTGGACATGCACTGCGCTTGCCGAGACACCGCCTACCTCGACGTACCATGTCAGGTGGAGTTGGATTAAGTTGTAAGAGGATTCGGAATGGCCAGACGAAGGTGTGGCATCAGTCAACGAAGTCTCTTTCTGTTGGCCTGAGCCGTGTGTGGAGATGTCAACTGTCCGTTTGGGGTCATGTAGACGAAAGGAATCAGTGATTGAGGACTGTTAGTGACATGGCTGAAGATCGCTCACAATGGTGCAGATGAGTTCACTCCTCGACATCTGAAGCTTGGATATTCGCACTTACCTTCATCTTCAAATTGTGTATCCACTGACGGCGACTGAACGCAAGACCTTCCGGTTTCACGGCGGGCTGTTTATCATTGAATCACTGAGTCAGAATCTAGTGGTTCAGGATTAAAAACGTGTGAACCAATGAATTTCGACCTAGTGCCTTATGACAATGAGCTCACCAAGAAATTTGAAGATCCCGAATTTCATCCCTAAGGAAATCATGGATGTGCACTGCTGAGTAGTTGCATACTAGAACGGTTCAGCTATACGGTATCCTCCGGTTTTCGATGGCTCTCCGACCGATGTCACTCCATAATGAATACCGACTTGAAATCGTTTGGAAATTTTGAAATTTTTAGTAATTGTAAATGTAGGCATATTGAAGCCAATCTTGTTTGTAGAAAACCAGTTCTCACGTAAACGATACACGCTTTGATAATCTTTATCTGGCTTTACCAGCAAGACTCGGGTGAGACTACATTGTTCCATCTTTGTTTTCTCCATTATTTACACCTCCTCCCCGCCGATTATACCAGCTCTGACCAGGGTGGTATAAGAGAGTGAGAGCACGACTTCTGTATTTTGTCATTTGAAGGAGGTACTATAATAGTTATACTGTGTCGAAGGCTTTGTTTTCGGTATGTTGTAAGCTACAACTCAATTTTCTTCAGTGCTAACTGTTAGAAGCTAACTGGATGAAAAGTCCTCCTTGTCGTATATTTCTTGTTAGCTGTCAATGCACTAACCATCAATGAGTGTTCGTAACTTCTAGAAAACTCTTCCATTGCTACGATTTCCATTGACGAAGACAAAGTCTCTACGTTTTCACTACTGAGTACAAGGCTGATCTTAACTAGTAGTTAGCTAGATTTATGAGCTGTTCTTCAGATGGTGACTTTAGTAAGTGCCAAGTGCTTATACCTGGTGTGATGCTTCAAACCATTTAGAAGCTTTCATCTTAACGTTCGTGTAAGACAATTCAACAAGTTTGATTCTGTCTTAAGAGGATGATACTCATCAAGAAAATAGAAGATTGGACATTAGTCTTGGAGTCAAAATCGGTGTATAACAAACTTGCATTTTATTGGTCTTCACTGGTGCCTTGCGTATCAACAATGAGTGAAGGGTTGAGCACGTTGACTGCCTTACTTACCTGGCACGTCAGTTACCGACGAAATCTCTGCACAAACCCAAAAGTTTCACTTGGCTCTCTGCAACTTATGCATCCTATGGCATAGCCATAATATTTGACTACCTATTAATGGTCGAGTGTACTGTGCTGCAGTGTGCTCTGTTCTACTCCATGACTGTAAAACATGAAAATTTAGGATGAAAGACATTAAGAAATATGACTATCTTGTTATTCATTTTGTGGATGGAGACGATCCTGAGTGAAATGAGTAAATTTTTGCTCACTTTCGCACTTGTCTGCAACTCTGTAGCTTCGTAAATCAAGCATTTTACTTCAACCCAGGCCTCATTTTGAATAATTCTTCATAACGACATCTTTGTGCGGTTGGATGTAGATATTGTGGCTACATAAACAGACAGACCGAACGCAGCAGCATAGGGTTAGGCAGAGGCCCAAGTTGCGAGACATCATATCAACAAATCAAGCAAGAATGGATGAAAATGAAAGATAAAGGAATGAAGAAAGCAGAGAAAGCGGCAGAAACTAGTGAAAACAGAATATCATGGAATAATTGAATTCTGAAATTCATTATGATGATTAGGATGATTTATAGAAAAGTCTATGTCACCGATAAAGGTTCTCGGTCATATCACCTACATTCTCCAACCACTGGTTTCTGATGTCATGTGAACCCAAACCAAGTAGTTTTCATTTCCGTATAAGGCTCTGAACGATAGTCAAGGACTTCAATGACCGATCCTAAGTTTCAGTCTGGCTGCATTGACGTTTTTTCAGTCAACATTTCTCAACTAGGTAGATGATGATTACGCATGTATAACACGTGTCCTAGACACTTCAGTCGAGGAAGCTTCACAACCTTCTAATATTTTTCATCCTTAATTTTCATGTTTTACAGTCATGGAGTAGAACAGAGCACACTGCAGCACAGTACACTCGACCATTAATAGGTAGTCAAATATTATGGCTATGCCATAGGATGCATAAGTTGCAGAGAGCCAAGTGAAACTTTTGGGTTTGTGCAGAGATTTCGTCGGTAACTGACGTGCCAGGTAAGTAAGGCAGTCAACGTGCTCAACCCTTCACTCATTGTTGATACGCAAGGCACCAGTGAAGACCAATAAAATGCAAGTTTGTTATACACCGATTTTGACTCCAAGACTAATGTCCAATCTTCTATTTTCTTGATGAGTATCATCCTCTTAAGACAGAATCAAACTTGTTGAATTGTCTTACACGAACGTTAAGATGAAAGCTTCTAAATGGTTTGAAGCATCACACCAGGTATAAGCACTTGGCACTTACTAAAGTCACCATCTGAAGAACAGCTCATAAATCTAGCTAACTACTAGTTAAGATCAGCCTTGTACTCAGTAGTGAAAACGTAGAGACTTTGTCTTCGTCAATGGAAATCGTAGCAATGGAAGAGTTTTCTAGAAGTTACGAACACTCATTGATGGTTAGTGCATTGACAGCTAACAAGAAATATACGACAAGGAGGACTTTTCATCCAGTTAGCTTCTAACAGTTAGCACTGAAGAAAATTGAGTTGTAGCTTACAACATACCGAAAACAAAGCCTTCGACACAGTATAACTATTATAGTACCTCCTTCAAATGACAAAATACAGAAGTCGTGCTCTCACTCTCTTATACCACCCTGGTCAGAGCTGGTATAATCGGCGGGGAGGAGGTGTAAATAATGGAGAAAACAAAGATGGAACAATGTAGTCTCACCCGAGTCTTGCTGGTAAAGCCAGATAAAGATTATCAAAGCGTGTATCGTTTACGTGAGAACTGGTTTTCTACAAACAAGATTGGCTTCAATATGCCTACATTTACAATTACTAAAAATTTCAAAATTTCCAAACGATTTCAAGTCGGTATTCATTATGGAGTGACATCGGTCGGAGAGCCATCGAAAACCGGAGGATACCGTATAGCTGAACCGTTCTAGTATGCAACTACTCAGCAGTGCACATCCATGATTTCCTTAGGGATGAAATTCGGGATCTTCAAATTTCTTGGTGAGCTCATTGTCATAAGGCACTAGGTCGAAATTCATTGGTTCACACGTTTTTAATCCTGAACCACTAGATTCTGACTCAGTGATTCAATGATAAACAGCCCGCCGTGAAACCGGAAGGTCTTGCGTTCAGTCGCCGTCAGTGGATACACAATTTGAAGATGAAGGTAAGTGCGAATATCCAAGCTTCAGATGTCGAGGAGTGAACTCATCTGCACCATTGTGAGCGATCTTCAGCCATGTCACTAACAGTCCTCAATCACTGATTCCTTTCGTCTACATGACCCCAAACGGACAGTTGACATCTCCACACACGGCTCAGGCCAACAGAAAGAGACTTCGTTGACTGATGCCACACCTTCGTCTGGCCATTCCGAATCCTCTTACAACTTAATCCAACTCCACCTGACATGGTACGTCGAGGTAGGCGGTGTCTCGGCAAGCGCAGTGCATGTCCAGGCCATCTCAGTTGACTAAGGTTCACAACGTCATCAGTCGAATTGCCTGTCTTGCCCAACACCTTTCGCTTGACTTCAACACTGCTCACGTGATGATTTCACCAAACGCGAGCAATGCTACGAAGACACCTATGATCGAAAGCCTGTACCCACTTCATGTCTTCTACTTTTAACGACCATTTCTCACAGCCGTACAAGAGAACAGAACGGATTGCAGTGCAGTATAATGATACACAGTAGACAAAACAAGTTGTTACAATGGTTGGAAAAGCGAACATTTTGCTTGTTAATCGTAAATTGTTTACTCAACAACAGTTACAAATAATTTCGACAGCAAACCATCATCTTTTAACAGATAGTTAACTCAATGAATCAGATCTTAGTGCTTTTTTGGCAAAATTGGTTTGTGGTCATTTCTTTGTTTGCCTCCTTCTTGCGGTTTCTTTGACGAAGGCTTGCCTGCCCAACATTTGGTGAACTCAGTATGATATTGGGTTTTATCCCATGGTTTAAGCCAAACTTCAACTTCGCATATTTGACCATCCTGTATATTTGATAAATAATAAAGTTAACGTTTAATTAAACAAATATTGAATTTATTTATTTATTATCGTGAATTTATTAATTAGCTGGTCCTATGAGTGTTGACCAAAGTGTTAGCATCACTAACAACAGTCAACACAGATCTGGAACCTTCCAGTACTCATCAGGAGGGTATATTACACAGCCTTCAAGAAAGTCATCTCAATCCTGAAGAAGTTCTCAAACAAGAGTCTTGAACATTACTCTGCTTAGGCCACTAGCCACACTGTGTAGCGTTGGCTTATGCATTAATATTCCGTATATATAGTTTACTGCAGATGTTCACATCATCGTATCTTTTGGTGAGTAAATGATGAAAAATTGGCAGATTTGTGATACTTAGTATTTTCCCCATCCGATCACGCTCGGAACTTATGTTTTCAATAATCCTCCTTCCATAAAATAGAATTGATAGGCTTCAGGTGTTTGAATCAAATCTCCTTCTTCATATGTCTTCCGTAAAAATATCACCTAGAATACTAGAAATAATAAACAAATGAACAAATAAGTTTCCATTTTTCAAAATTGGCTAGCTATTTAGTCCTTTAGAAGGTGGGTAGGAAGGAATAACGAATTTCTGTGGCTAATCTTGAAACAGACCAGAAGGTATTGCAATGTAAAGCTTGAGTCTCTTATTCGCAACAAATTTTATGCTTTAGTTGGCATGTAGTCAATTAATCGGTCATAACATACGACCAATTTTCAAGTCACTAATCGAATTGAAGCTTCTCAAAATATGTCCAATTCAGACAGGTGGACAGGCGAAATCAATACAGAACCTTGAACAAAAGTGAATCGATCCAAGTTACCACACTTCACAATATGATACAAAGAACAAAGATGTATAGGAGGAGAAGAAGCTTAGAAATCAAAGTTAGTGAAAATGTTCAAGCTTTAGAGGATGTCAGCGAGTGGATACACCTGCACCATTGTCAACGATTTCCAGTCACGTCACCAATTGTCTCCAATGACTGATTCCTGTCAACTCATGAACCCAAACCAGGCAGTTTACACGTCCCTACAAAGTTCACACCGACAGTCAGAGACTTCATGCACTGGTTTCACGTTTAGGTCTCGCCAACCTGAGTCTTCTTTCAACCTAACTCAAATTTGACTAACACTGCATTTTGAAGTGGGTGGTGGCCCGGCACGCTCAACATGTATGCATATGCATGTCGAGGAGTGAATTCATCTGCACCATCGTGAGCGACCTTCAGCCATGTCACCGCCTCAGTCATCGACGGTTTTCAACCTCTTCGGCTAACTCACCCAGACGAAGTTTCACTGTTTTTTATCAGTCACTAGTGATAGGTTGCATCTATAGTCCAGAATGAAGTTTTAGTATCACTAATGTTCAGGCTTGAACTGTTGAGTAAAACAGTACGAGGTGTTAATGCTAGGTTGTTCCACAGCTAGATTCCTGAAAATCGACTTTTAAAATGTGCATCAGTCACACAGAAACCAAAGAGGTATGTTGCCTGACTAACTGGATACTCTTTTATCCTTCATCTGTAGATACGTGCATAGAATGTCTTTCTGATATAAGTCATTTTCACCTACCAACAGCGGTAAGATTAACTCATCCTCAAGGTCATCAGTTGAGTGAAATGTGAAGTGGCTGGTCACTTCTCAGTTAATACTACTTAGTAGTTTATATGTGAAAAATGATGAATCTGTGAAATTTGTTTTCTCAGGCGTGCAGCGCTCATAATTTTAAGTTGTCAGGGAGATATTCGCATTCACCATTGCAACGATGACACCACACGCTTCAGAAGATAAATGGTTCTAAAACAATCAACTGACGTTTAATATGTAAGCCACTCTGATACTTCAGATCAAGGAAGTCTAGATCATTGACAGAATAATTACATCGGAGTCGTAAATTGATAAGTAACTACCACACAATACAAGAGAATGTGGAGTTTCGATAACAATGAGTACTAATTTCGATTAATATTATTATTCTTTACAAAAATGTAACTTACAACGCTATGATCCACTTTGCAATGAACATCATTGCCCTGTTTTAAACTCTGCATCACATTTTTCTTTGAACATGTGGTTTGTTTCATGTGCAACGTGAAATGATATAGCGCACCTGAAACAATCTACATTAAATATTGAACAATATTAAAAACAGAACTGCAACCTACTTGAGTTTTCATGTTTTTCACGTCATAATCAGTGAACCAATAGCGACTATTGGTTCTGTAATTGTACTCCATTACTGCTATTTTCACGATTGGCTTCATTTTCTTGGTCTGTGCATCGTCAACCGGATGCACTCCTCCAACTAGCTTTTGGCTAAAACATGAGTGTAGGATGATAGTAAGACAGAAGATAACAAGAATTGTGAATTTCATATTGGGCGCAGAAATCTTCACTGAACAGTCTATGAAATAAAGAATGCAGCAATTTGTTTATATATCCTCTAAAATACTATATTTTTTCTTGAAAGTTCAACAGATTTCTGATGATTGTTTGCTTAAGTTCCGTTGAGTATTAATTATTCGAAAAAATCAAATGAATATTATATTACTTAGTAAACACATCCGTTGTATTTCATTACTATTAAGTGGTATTTGTTCAAATGTGGCCTATTGAAACATTGAATGAAGATTTCCTCAGGTTAAACAACTTTGTTTAAACGAGCTAAGCCGAAAATGTTCATGAATGCATTACAAGTTTACTTACTGTTTATCTGAGACAACATTTAATTGGTTTATTTGCACACCTATGTGACATGAAATACTCAGACACATCAGCTTATGTAATACGAAGCTGCAGTGTAGTCAGGGACTGTTAATGTGTAGCTGAAATTAGTTTTTGAGCAAGCGTAGTCGATGATTCTTGAAGATACTGATGTGTGAAACCATACTCTTCCATATTACTATGACTTGACACCTATTTTTAATGAATAAATTTCCAAAGCATTACTAAGTAAGGTAGTTGAATCTCTAAGTTGTGTTTTGTTAAGCTGTTTATCTTCGATGTTTGCTCAATATATCAATGAAGTAAAGACTATCCCACTGTAGGGTAGTACAGAAGAGTGAAACTACAGAAAGTACACTCATGCGATAAATGTAGCAGAAGTAAAATACGTTTCTCCTCTTCTCCTGCTTTGTGGAGCTTGTTGTTAACCAATCTACTGCATGAGAGACACCTGATACCAAGTAGGAATAATGATTAAAAGTTGGGTACATTATGAAAATGAAGTTAAACGAACTGATGAGTATATTAGTCTCAGCTGATCTTCCTCTATGTACATTTCTCATTTACACACTCTGTGGTAGGTACTTACCTTACTCCAAGCATGTGTGTACAAACCTGAATGCATTTACGTATTCTTGACAGTCCAAATATCGCTAATCCACCAGTAGCAGACAATGTAAGAGCTAAAGAGGTGTAGGTGAAGATGATGGAGAATGTATTTGCAATGCAATTCAATTTCATATTCTTAACCAGATACGGATCATCTAAATGCGGTACAAACAAGCAAATAAACACGTATATACAATGTTAGCACCGAATAAAGAAATACAAGTTGTATACAGTGTCAACAGTTCTTATTGTAGAAACAGTCTCTACATTCTGAAGTTGCTCATCATATGCAACTACGCTCAGCCCACGGTATTTTCTGTGCGTACAGCAACCTTTCAGCTGAAACGTCATATACAGTAATCGAGAAAAGTGGTGTTTGCACTCATAAAGAGCTCAGATCCATATACAAACTGATAACAAAGCAAGTTTTGTATGCACCAGCAAATGACATAAGACAGAGACGGTCGAGGGGTAAGTGAAAATCTGGATTGTAGGCGTATTCGAATCAGAGACATCTAGATCCTCTGAGAACTGTTCTACTAGCTGAGCTACAAGAACCAGCTGCAAATCGGATCTTAAATCTACTACAATCATCAAGAGTAGTCTGGTTATCTGGTCTGCAGCCAAGTGTTGTAGCTGAGTTGTTAGGGAATCGGGTGAGAGACGGAGTGGTAGCTGATTCAAATTCAACGACATTTGGAATTTTCACCTCACCTTCAATCATCACCCAGTATACATACGAGTCTGGCAACCCATGGCTATCTCAGATGCTCAAAGTGACATAATTGTTTGATATGGAGTTGAGACATGGATTCTCATGTGTGTGTGTGTGTGTGTGTGTGTGTGTGTGTGTGTGTGTGTGTGTGTGTGTGTGTGTGTGTACAAACATGGACGCTTACAGTCTTACAAAAAAGAACCTTCGCGTTTCTATGGAGCTTCTAGGCAAAAACGTAAACCCCAGGCTACCATTACTACTACTACTACTACTACTACTACTACTACTACTACTACTACTACTACTACTACTACTACTACTACTACTACTACTACTACTACTACTACTACTACTACTAGCGTATTTACTGGTGACTAGTAGTGAAAAGCAGAACACTATGTGCATACTTGTCAGAATTCACCAAACAAATGTATCTGCATTTCTCACGAAAACTTGAAATGGTCGCATACCGTTGTAAATATATTAGTTTTATTCACCAGGTTGATGACATTTCACTGTCACGTAACTGTATATCATCTAATCTACGCTGTAAGTCATTAGAGTTAGAACGGTTTCTAGTTGGACCTACTACCATTGATGAATATTTAGATAAATCATAAGCAGTTGTGTTTCAGAAGTCTACTGTGAGTCTAATGAGAATACACGATTTATGAATTTTAATAGTACCATAAATCCTACTGGAATTATTAGTTTTTGGCTCTAAATGGAATTATTTCAACTAACCTAGAAAAAGCTTCATTTAGTGTATTAGATCTACTGCGATATTTTTAACCGTATTCATAATGGTGTCTATTGGTTTCCTAATCTCCGCGTACGCTTCTGTCTCAATATGTTCGCTAACATACTGAACGTAACCAGATCTGTTCAACACTACTGTTGAGTTGTCTTTATCTGACTTAGTACTTAACTATATTGTTGTTGTTCTGAAGGTTCTTCGAAGCTTCTCTTTCTGCTTTTCTTAAGTTCTGTTTCGTTTTCTTTTGTCGCTTAAGTGTTGGAGCAGACAGTGCTCACACCTCGTCTGCCACTATCTTATCTGCTGAATTTATTGCTCTTACGATTTCAGGAATGACATCTCTAGGTTTTAATTGGTTAGCTGGTACACTGAAATTGAGTTGCTTCTGTTGAACTCGGAAACCTAGTTGAGAGATTGACAATCCACTTTGTTTTATTGATGACTGACAATATGCTATTGGGAATGTCATTATTCTTTACTGGGTACTTTTCTTCCACTAGTTTGTTGAACTTGTTGATTTGAATACTCTTGAGTCTTCTGAAACCAGTCGATCTCGCTTTGTTGAAGTTGTTGGCTAGCAGTCAATAATCTTTCCTGATTAAAATTTACAATTTAGTTCTTCTATATGTATATATGTCATGTAAGGTGAGTCTAATGATCCCTTTTTATAGCTTCATTAGCAATAAGAAGATTCTGAGTGGTAGGCTATTGACTCAAATTAGTTACCTAATGGATAACTCTCAAAAATTTTGGTTTGATAGGTACCAAGTTCAAGTGTCACCTTTGCATGTCGCATTTATAACTCAAAGAATAAGACAACTGGTTTCAAAATATTTCCAAATAACGTATCACTACTGATTTTCTGTCAAGAGTAAATTGTGGTGAGCCTCTTGGTTTGCTGGCTGCATTACAAAGTGACCGATGGAATTCGGTCAGCACTCAGCACCAGACAACATGAAATTGGTTGCTCTCTAGTGACCAACCAATGTAGAGTAAATTGTTTCATCAACCCACAGTTTATATAGTACTTTTTAACATTCAGCAGTTTGCTGAATTTGACTTATGTAACGAGAAGAATAACACGATGAGATTCACGATCTCCAGTAAAAGTTTCATCGTAATAACAGATATGCTAACCATTTAATATTAGCAGACCCTCCTGATCGTGGATGAATTTAGATATATCTACTTAGATTTTCACTTGTCTTAACCAAATTATATAACCCATGTCATTTGATGTTTAATGTGCCAATGGTTCTCTCCTTTTGCAGCACATTTACGTGGAATATTTAATCCTCACTTGCACAATAGTAATATAATCAGACTATCAGTTCCACTCTTCATATTATCATAGGTGTCAGCTCTTTATCCACTGATGTACCACTCATAGAAACTGTATGCGACTATATAGGCATAAACACTATAGATATTGAGATACTTACTGTTTATTTAAAAGAAGTTATCTTGAGATGCATGCTGAATTGACAATTTAGGTTTAACGAAGTGATGTGTTGATGGAACGACGGCATTGACATGGGATCTCTATAGGGTTCATAACTAGGAGATTTCTTTATGGGGAGGATCGAGAATGATAGCCGCAACCCAATGATGAACCAACTGACAGTATGTTAGTGACACCATGATATGTGCATAGAGTAGGCAGTGATAAATATAAGTGTGCAGTAGTGTACAAGTGGGACTTCTATCCTAGGAAATAGTATAACTCCATGTTACTGTCTGTTTTCTGGATTCTTTAGACAGTGAAACTGGAAGACATTTCGAACACAATTTTTGTTCATATTTGTATCTGATGTAGACTGAGTTGTACAATGTATGAAAATGCTGCACTGCATATTTATGAATGGTATAAACTTATCTACTAATTATGATAAATGCTAGGTGTGTCTACGAATCGCCAGATAAGACTCTCATTTCATAAAACCTACTAACCATATTCTTTTCCATTTTTTCTCTTTAGCTTTTAATCCATTAACCATATGACGGGGTTTTATTTACGTATTTGAATGTGAGCAACACTGAAGAGTGAAACCTTTCAAGTTGGACACAAAGGGCACCTCATAATAGCTGGTGATTGTCTTTGCCCGGCTCTGGTGTCAATAACTATGACACTCTATGCAGCATTGATCCTCTCTGTAGTTTCCTGCCAGTTTGTCAATGCAGAGAAGCTCTTTACAATGCAGTTAAATGGTACTGGGTTTTCTCGCTAGCTGGTGAACACCGCGATGCTTCCTGAGCCATGGATTACGGGTCGATCCTAGTTGCGTACGATGGTGGTGAGCCTGTTCGTTACCACGCTAGATATTCACCAATACGCAGACAAGATAGCTTGGAGAAAACTGCAGTCGACGCGATAAATATGCACACGATCATTAGCACGTGTCTCCAAATCGTGGATGGATTCGCTAGCCATCAGGATTCCGCCATGTGCGTTGCAAGTGGTGCAACCGTAAGTTGCGTCTGGTTCTAATGTGCTTAACTAATAGGGCATTTGAATATCTTGAACACTGATTACTCTCATATCAGGTTGCTTCAAATGTCTCAGGTTTTATTTTGTTTTGAATTTACTTTGCTTCACATTATTATTATTATTATCCATATTTTGGTTCTATTTACAATTCTTGATTTTCGTTCATATAACACAAATTTAGTTTTCGTAACAAGATTTGAAGTATCAGAGGATGTGATGGCGACCAAACTTTAGAGATACTCTTGTGAAACAGATTGTTAATGCATTTAGAAGTGAAAGATAATT